CTGCGACAATACAAATCTCGCCAAGATCAAAAATTAATTTTTTGACTTTCCTTTTTTCTTTTTAGTAAGGGGTGGAAAGGTGGAGGAAAGGTGGGCCAAAGTTCTCGGGGCCCTCCTGGGAAGTACTGCCTGCGCTGGGCGTTCAGATAGTGGAGCGAGTGGTGAGGGGTCAGAGAGCGGGAAACAATCCCTAACCCACCCACTCGCTGTGTTTTCCTGCTCACATCTCATAGCGCCGTCCCCATAATCTGAACGCCTGGAACAGGTTACGAGGCCCTTTTGATGACTGACAAACGTTATTGTATTTTGGTAGGAAGACAAAAAGGCGTGCACATGTATATCCAGGAGCCGGTATATCCTAATTTTCAATCATGAAATCTAAAATCGTGTGGCACTAAATTTTTGCAATTTTTACGGATTTTTTCACGATCCGTGAAGGAAAGTTCCCGACAAAGAAACCAGAGTAAATATTAAATCGCAAAAATGAGCCGGACTTCCCCCCCTTCACCCCCCGCTTTTTGCGCGGAACGGAAGGAAGGCTATAAACTCCACAACTGCAATAAAACAACAGTATTTACTTTCGGACGTTGGTTCGCCTGTATTTTGACTCTAATAAACGCAACAAGACTCGTGTAATTAATTTCTAGTGAGAAAAGCAGATTAATATTGGACCAATCGCAAAAATTGGTTCACGCAGAATAAAAAAAATCGCTGGTATACAACATTAAAACTCTCGCAAAAACTAACTGCCACTTGGTTATAAAATAATTCACATTGTATTACCCGCTGGCGAATTGTCGTCTCCTGTTGATACATTCGATTCTTCTTCCCCCGATAACCTACAAAGCACACGCACAACTGAAGTGCAGCTGCAGCTATTAAAACCACACTATGTTGAAAATAAGTTCTGTCCCAATTAACCCCTGTTATCCCAATATCCCCAGACAAATTTTCCAGACGACGGATCTCCATACATTGGCTTAAAGAATTAGTTGAGGGAATTTGTTTTAAGATCAAAGCAGTTTCCCAGTTAGGTGATCATTATGGAGCACATGGGTAAAAAAAATTTGGTTATCTATGCCTCCAAGAAATTTTGGTCATGAGAAAATTGTCCGTACGTATTTACGCCTACCCATTTATGTAAGACGGAGTGAAATTTTGTATTTCTAGCACCCAAGGGTTTCGCCCAGCACGACTGCGGTTTTTTTGAACGACTTCAAAATCTTTGATATAGATCAACTTATTCTTGCACTGATATTTAGATTTGGGGTTATTTTAGTCTAAAAAGTTCGACGGAAAGTTTAGCCGTGTCTTTATCAAATAGTAAAGACACTCATTATATATATTTTTTTGCTTTTTCTTTGTGAATTATTAATGAGTTTCTGAAGATAAGTTAAAAGGGATAGAGTATAAAAATAGAGAAAATCCGTGATCAAACGGAAATAAGAGAAAGACTAAGAGAAAGAAAGAAACGGGGAAAGAAAAACACAGAACGAAACAGCAAGAAACTGAGAAGGACAAGGGAGGACAAGGAGAAACTGAGGAAGAAAAGAGAGAAGGAACAGGATGAAAATGTAAGGTAGAAAACGTGTAAAAACTCAGTCAAGGATTACAATTGCAAGCAAAAGTAACAGTGTTACTTTAAAAAATAAATCGTTTTGTAACTACTTCACACTGTCGGAGTACGTTCCATATTACTTATCACTGGTGCGCAGTTCTCGCGGCTCCATACTATCAGGCTCCTCGCAGAGCAGTTCGGGAACGATCCTCAAATTAGGCTTACTTTTTAACCATTAAAGCAACATGTAGCGTGCATTCATTAACAACATTTGCCAATAGGCCGTCACTTTTGCAGTTGTTTTTACGCCTTAAAAAAGTATATGCTGTAAATGAATGCACCTTATAGTGGTTTATAGGTAAGCCTTATTAATTCTTATTTGGCCTATTCCTTTTTTCATTCTACTATTAAAAACAACGTTATTGTAATACAATTAGGCATAACATCACCTTTGTGCTATATATACTGCCGAGGGTGAATAAACATCACTTATTTGTTATATTTCACACCTGTTCAATGTATCTTTAAAAAGACTGTCCATCACTGTCTTCATAACTATCAGCATCTGAAGAGAAAACATACTTTGCATTAACAAACCTGTTCAACAGTACATCAACACAGAAAGAAGCTCTCATTCCTTACCGATTACGTCATCAGCTTCCAAAGTACCTCTGAAATTAGAAAAGTAAGAAAAGGAGAGATGATATTTTGAAAAAGTTATGGCATGAATACCTGGGAATTAAAGCAAACGACTTTGCAAACGACATAAAACAGGATGCACAACTTACATAACACAGCCTGTTTTCCTTGTCCATCCCCCGCCATTTTTTTCATAGGCATCAGGTCCTCAATTTCTCTTAAAAATTTATGCAAAATTTTAGGGGTGCATAAGACGCAATATGGAAGATGTGCATATGGAGTATGAACATAGTTTAACGGCCTTTGCTCCTACGAATCTCTCATAGCTCAGTGGTAGAGGATCTGGACCAGTAACAACGTTATATATTTGACTCCTGTGGCATACATAACTCGGACGTTTTCCAGTAGTTTTCAGTGTCACTGATTGAAAAACGCATCATTCTTATGACAACATTAAGATAGCTTTGCTTTGTTGGCTCTAAAACGTTTTAGGCATCACACACAGTAAAGATCTTTGAAATGCTGTACTTACGTAAAAAAAAAAGTTAAACCCGCGGTGAAATGTTATTTTGCTTAACGAGGTGATGTGTTAACAAAATACAGCCAGCTGATTAGATAGCAGAATTGACACACGGTCGTCCGATTTAGTTTAACTACTCGTGTGATTAATGCTAAATCCGGGGCTAGTGATAGCCAATAAGTTAATAGAATTTTGTTCAAAACAATAGTATGGTTTTGATTCAGGCAATTATTGAAATACACAGTTGTGGGCCAGAAACAAATTTCAGTAAAAAAAACTGAATTAGATGCGCGCGGCGAATAAATTGTAGTGGGGAATTTTGGTTATTACGATCGCAATGACATGGAAAATGTCCCTTGCAAAGATTTCTCCTGAGGGTAATGTCTACGTAGTCTGAGGTCGCTCGCTCTCATGCTAATGGTACTGTCTAGAAGGGACTCCACGTGCCGGCATTTTGAAAGTAGAGAAGGAACTAGGCATGACGGTGATTTCCGGGGGAGAGGTGTACACTGTATGGCTTAGATTTGTCATCTTTCAAGTCGTAATCTTCTAACAGGGGGCTCCACATCTGGATAACCTGAAGACAACAATAAAAAGAGCAGAAACAACAAGGTATAAATTATGCAAGGAATGATGACTATAAATAACAAATGATAATGGCGAACGAGAAAAGCGAGTGACTGGTGATGAACCGCTGGGGACCATGTGAAGAGTACAACTCGCCCTTTGTCTCCTTCCCGCCTTCCTTTGCGCACATATTTCATCGAGAGAGAGAGAGACGTCTGGGTACGAGGCAGAGTTACCACTATAAAATATTACGGCCATTTTGAAATCCCATGAATCAGTAACGCCTACCCTTCGAAGCCGAAGATTGATGGCGTGGGGTCAGCTAAGTAAGCAGTTAGTACCAAGACATCATAGTACCAAGACTTGTTGATGTAGTCGCAGGATCGTGTAAAATGGCGTCGGAAGGGGCGTAACTAGCTTTTGACTAGTTGTAGGCCTGGTTGACTTTCATTTCCACATATCCTGAAAATTGCACGTATGACTAGTATGCACTGACCTCATCAACACTTTTTTTAGCTTACCCCATCAACGTACAATTCACTACAAGCGGTAGAGTGATCAAAGCGAAAATGTGTAGGCCCGCGGGCCTACAAGTCTATGGGCTAGCTACGCCCCTGGCTTTTACCTGTTATTTAATAAGACGACATTAAGGCATTAGCTTTTCTCCTGTCGCCTGTCGCCTGTTGCCTGTTGCAACTGATTGCAAAGATGGACATAAATTGAAACTTGAAAAAGTTCGGCAAACTTTTTCAAGTAATAGTGAAATGTTCTTGTTATCTTCTTCACACGTAAGTTGACACAATGACTCTATATCTACAGGAGCCACTAAAGTTACGAACAGCACAGAAATGACCTAAAACAGCAATATCAGAATATCAGTCTTGAAAGTTTGACTAGTGGTCCGTCGCGGGTCGCGGATGTATGTTGCGGGTGTGAGTTGGAAGTCGCGAATTTTCGCACCCGCTACATACAACACACGACACGCGACCAGCGACCCGCGACCCGCGACTCGCGACCCCCGTCCATTTGTCAAACTGTCCTCATGACATAGCTTTAAATTTGAAAAGTACAATCGGCTGTAGAAAAGTCTAGAAACCAATATAATCATTACAATGATGTAACTTAAAAAGTCAGCGGGACTGTTAAGCTGGCCTTAATTTGCATTACAGTCCAGGATTGTAAACAAGCGGTCAATTGGTTTAGAATATTGATACCACACGCTGTGCACATATAAATAATGTTTCTGTAGAGGGCGGCTGTAGGAGCTCAGATAGCTCAGCTTAGAAGCAAAATTTTGCTGTTCTTACTGTCAAAAAAGCGCAACTATTTTATGTTTCAAATCAAATTTGGGTAAACTGAACTTTCCTTACCTTAAACAATTTGTGGATTCCAAACATGTGTCGCTGGGGCTGCTCTTAAAAAAGTAAGGTATGTCAGGTTATTATGCCTTTTAATATTGAGAACCAAATGGATGTGAAAGCATTTTAAATGAAAAGGTTTCATTCGAATGGTCACGACCGGCCGATTACGTGTACAAGTTAGTCGTCCTCAAGTTAGTATATAGACGCACAGATCAAGCCTGTGTAAATGGTAATTTTTGAGACAGGTACATACTGAAAAGGCGAATTCTTGCAAGAAATCAAGAAACGTGGTATACAGCAAATCATCTAAGCGAGATTCGCCTTAAACTGGCTTCCATCTGATTACTTCGATTGAAATTTACAGATATTCAAGTGCAGGTTCTGTGGAACTAAGTATTGTGAAGCATGCGGCAGAGGAGATTTTCATGGTGTAATGACGGATAAAACAGTTTGTCAAGTTTGTTTTCAGGTATTATGGAATTGAACTGATCTTTTTAGCGTCAAGGAGATCACGATTATGGACGCAGTACTAACTGAAACGCATTTGGACCATTCGATTCTTGACTCCGAGATTTTTCCCTCTCACTACACTGTTTTTAGAAAAGATCGTAAGATTAATGGCCGCCATGGCGGTGGTGTACTCATTGCGGTACGTGATTACATTACTGTTTCTCTTCGTCCAACTCATCCGTGCGACTCTGAAATGCTTTTTATTGATGTGCTCTTATCTTACAACCGACGGATAACTATCGGCGTGTTTTATCGACCCCCGGGAAGTGATATTAAGCCTTTGGAAGACCTTCAGACCTTTATTCAAGGACTTGATTCAACCGCGGATTTAATTCTGGTTGGAGATTTTAACTTGCCGGAGATCGAGTGGTCATGTAATAGAGCTTTACAACAATCTCACAATCACGCCCTTTTAATTGATATAATTCAGGACAATTTCTTAACACAGCTGGTCAGTGAGCCTACAAGGAACCAAAATATTCTAGACTTGTTAATCACATCCTCGCCAGATATCATTGATCGTCTTGTTGTTGGCGATTGCTTCTCCGACCATAACTCTCTTAGTTTTGAGATCTTAAGATCACCCTACACCCAGCGTAAATCTCGGAAATGTTTCTATTCATATGGCAAAACTGACTGGGCACACCTAAAGATGTTATTGGCTTGCATTCCTTGAACTGTGCTTTTTCGATGATGACATTGAATACAACTGGTCTTGCTGGAAAGATCTTTTATTTACGGCTATGGATGAATGCATACCCGTGCGCCGGGGCAAGAAAAATGTAATGCACCTTGGATTACAAAGGATCTTATTAGGTTGTGCAGAAAAAAGAATTGTTGTATAACAAAGCGCGAAAAAGCAGCAATCCAGCCCTTTGGGAGAAGTACAGAAAACTGAACAATGTCGTGAAAAGAGAATGTAACTTAGCTCGATGGACGTATATCAACAATATGGCCTCTGATATTGCAGTTTCTGGTAATTCCAAGCCTTTCTGGAATTATATTAAAAGCAAACGTAACGGTACGAACACTCTGGTATCTTTAAAGGTTGGTGACAAAGAACTGATTGACGATGAGAGTATTGCTAGTAGTTTTAATTCCTATTTTTCATCTGTTTTTTACCTCCGAGGACTTCACCAACTTGCCTTCTTTAGAGCCTTTAGTTTGTGAGAAACTTAATTATATTTCCTGTACTACTGAGGAAATTTTAAAAGCATCTTAAGTCTCTTAAAACGAACAAGTCCCCGGGTCCAGACAGAATTTCACCAGTAATTTTAAAATCATGTGCGTTCGAATTGGCGCCCTCGATCTCATTTCTGGTTAACAAATCTTTCCTGCTGGGCCATTTGCCCGAAGATTGGAGATCAACTGACATTGTCCCACTTCATAAGAAAGGTTCTAAACACTTGAGGGAGAATTATCGACCAATTTCGCTTACATCCATGATATGCAAAATCAGCGAAAAAATCGTACGCGATAGGCTAACGTCATTTTGGCAAGACCATAACGTGATAAACAAAAACCAATTTGGTTTTTTGCAGGGTAGGTCTACTGTAACCCAATTACTCTCTACTTTTCATGACTTCGCCAAATCTAGGAATTCATCTGTAGCAACAGATGTTGTATTTCTTGATCTCGCAAAGGCTTTTGATAGTGTTCCTCATGAGCGTCTACTCATAAAGTTATATAGCCTCGGTATTGAGAGCAAACTTCTTAACTGGTTGAGGCATTTCCTCACGTGTAGAAAGCAACGAGTTGTTGTAAGAGGGACTTTTTCTGATTGGGCACCTGTGATATCTGGTACACCACAGGGAACTATTCTTGGTCCAATTTTATTCCTATCATATATAAATGATATCGTTGATAGTGTCTCTTCAAAAATTAAATTATTTGCGGATGACACTAAGATTTACAGAGAGCTTCGCAACCCTAGTCTCGATGAACAATACCTTCAAACTGATCTGAATAATCTTGGTAAATGGGCGAAAAAATGGCAACTTCGTTTCAATGAGGAAAAGTGTGAAGCAATGCGAATAACGCATTCTCGTGACAAATCGACTACGAATTATAAACTAGGTACGGCCTTAAAAGATGTCAAGAGCTTTAAAGATCTTGGAATTATTATATCAAAAGATCTTACTTGGAGTGAACATATTAGTACCATGGTGAATAAGGCGAACCAAGTCCTAGGGCTAATAAGACGGTCTGTTGGAACAGCTAATACAACAACTTTTTCATTGCTTTACAAAACATTGGTCAGACCACTTCTAGAGTATGCTGCTCCAGTCTGGAACCCATATCTTGTCAAAGATATTCATGCAATACAGTGCGTGCAAAGACGCGCGTCAAGATTAGCTCTTAGGCAAAAAAGAGGTGATATGTCTTATGAAGAGCGTTGTGACTCGTTACATTGGCCATCTTTGTCCAGTCGTAGGACATATTCCTCTCTTGTTGAATGTTATAAGATCGTGTTTGGCTTATCACACTTGGATTTTGAGGAATTCTTTCAATTCGCAAAAGTCAAATCCACTAGGGCAAATCACTCGTATAAGCTTTATTGTAAATTATCTAGAATCAACTGTTTTAAATATTCTTTTTTTAACAATGTAATTAGTTACTGGAACAATTTACCTAGTAATGTTGTTGAAGCCGGTTCCCTTGACCTTTTTAAATGTAAACTCAAATCCTTTTCAAAGTTGTAATTTTTATTGTAATTTTTATTGTAATTTTTATTGTTTGTTGTTTTTAGGAGAGTTTTATTCATAGGGTTAACCTCTAGACTCTCCCTTTCAAATTCATGTGGTCATTATGAGTTTGAATAAACATGTATGTTATGCAGTAGTGGTACGGGCTCACGAAACAAAAACAGAAAGGACAAATTCTCCTTTCTACCAGTGATCAGCATCAAATTTCTCCACTACTTTGTAAAACAGAGTGTTCATGAGAATTAAGGAAATGATCACACGAGATGAATCAGTGGCTTTATATTTTATCAACTTCTCCCCACTACTTCTGTGGGAAATGAATAGGGGCAACAAATGAGAATTCAAATTTTGATCCTAAGGTTTAAGGGCTTAAAAAATTGGCTTCGTCAAGAGAGGATAAGGACACCCAAATTTCTGAAAGCTGCGCCCTTTGTGAAACTTGAAAGGTATTACACCCGGATAGTTTACGGAAGAGAACAAAGAAAACTGTTTGCTTAATTCAGTAAATGACAGATCGTTTACAAAGCAGGCTCGTTTCAATTCATTAGGGACCGACCATTAGAAAAGTTATGGGGGGGGGGGGAAGGGGAATTTTCGAGCCACAGGAATTTTTTTTCGTTATCAAATTCCTTGTATGAATTTTTTTTAGGCCATAGCATGAATATTTTTTAGGGTTAATTGGCGTGCAATAATTTTTTTTCATTCAATTTTCCCTTGCGCAAATTTTTTTTTTGTACTTCGCCCGCTCCCTCCATAAGTTTTCTAATGGTCCGTCCCTTACAAGAGAAATGTCGCAATCCCTGAATCACCTTGTGTCACTAGTCTCCAAATAGACCTTTTGAGTAGAATTAGTTCTTATTGTTTTTGTTTAATCCTTTAATTAGCCCAAGATCATACTTCGTAAGCTTTTATGTAAATTGGTTTGTTCCGAAGGAAACTGCTGTGTTCCATCAAAAAGATGAACCGGGGGACCTCCCAATAAAATTGACCGGTTTGGGGGTAACAGCCGCAGATTTTGGTCCGCACTTGTGTATGGTTTTTGGGGGGGGGGAAGACAAGATTTTTTCCAATGAAAGTCTCGTTAATAGTATTGTCCCACGCAGACCTCCTCAAGGGTTCGTCACAAGTTACTGCCCCACACTGGGGAGGACTGTGTGACAAGCCAAAAGAACCACTGAAATTGAGGCTATTTTTAAAGGTGATGTTACACGAGACGATTCGTAACGACGATTTTTAGCGCTTCACAGCGTTGCCACATTGTTGCGACATTGTCTCGAATGGTTGCAACATTGTTCCAACATTGCAACGTTGTGTTGTGCTAAAAATCATCGTTGCGAATCGTATCGTGTAACATCACCTTTTAATTAAGGGAGGCTACGTTAACAGGGGTGTCCAGTAAAGGTGGGTCTTATTACTTTTTTAAATGTTTTGTCTTAATATTTAATGTCATAATTACGAATTTCAGCCTAAATGCCAAGGAGAGAGAATTGGCCAAGACCCAGGAAAATCAGCTCAGAACAAAAGAACAGTCAACAAGAAAACAGTCAAAGCTGAAACTTCACAAAAGCGATCACAAGAAGCGAGAAAAGGATAAATATCAACACCCTAGTTAAAAAAATCCGTGGATTGTTTAAAATAGTTTTTTTTTTTCTTAATGCAGAGGAAAATGTGAGCCGAAAACGCCCGAGCTTATCGGAAGCTAGCGAATTGTAATATCGTTTTCAGATTTCAACCCATGTTAATAGCATGAACGGTTGGCTTTGTTGGTCAGACGCTTAAACAAGCCAAGGAGGGCGAGGGCAGTGCAAGGAGCTTGGGGAGTTAGAAACAAGAAACCGTCCTAGCCTCCAGTTTCGGAGAGCCATCGCTGATGTCTTTGCCACGTTATGCGCCTGATCGAGTTAAATAACTTTCAGTTCATGGAATTCTGTCCCCAAGTTAGCAATAATGCTAATTTGAAAGCTACGAAAATCATAACATAGAAAGTTCTGGGCACAATGCACACCCAGCACTTTTTTATCGCGGGGACGTTCGGGAACGATCGATCTACGACAATTGTCGTTTTGATGTCGGGCGCTCTCGTGCGAGTGGACTAATTATGAAAGTGTCTACATGAGTGATACATTTGCTCATCGCAGTACGCTACGTGAAATCCACCATAGACCTTCGCCATCCTAGCTGTTCTCTGGTGTTTAGAAAGTGCGAGCTGCTCGCGATTAGGGGTTCTTACCATTTACATGTTAAAACCAGAAATTTCGGTTGGAAAATTAAATGATTCTCGCCACTCTGTTTCCGAAGCTTCTCAAAATACCGTAAAATTCCGAAAATAAGCCCCGGAGCTTATATTTTTCAAAGGCCTTTTCGGAGGGGCTTATTTTCGGGAGGGGCTTATATTCGGAGGGGCTTATCTACGGAGGGGGAAATTTGCGTTTCCAACTCCACTGGGTTAGCCTTATAGTTGGAGGTAAATTTACTGTTTTTGCTTTGTTTTACCTTGTATTTGAGGGCAATTTTCCAAGTAGAAACCCCCAGGGGGCTTATATTTGGAGGGGCGATTTAACGGAGGGTTTTTTGCGTTACCGGTTTGGGGGGCTTATATTTGGAGGGGCTTATTTTCGGAATTTTACGGTATGGGATGTGATTAGACCCAGTCAAATTTTATAGTTTTGTGTTTATGCACAATATTTCCACCCTGGTGGTTTGTGTAAATGGTAAGCATCCTTGGTCTCTTCCCTTCTTCCCACTTCGCTCTCTTCATCGTCCTATCTCTTCTATCCAAACGCCTGACACAGGGAACTGCCGCTACCCAATTCATGATAAAAAGACATAACATGTCCTTGGGAAGGTTCAAGCATCGCGCGGGTTTCTAGGAGGTTGTGCATGTGCTTCTCTGGATATATTGAAAAACTGAAATTTTCTGAAGGCCGCACTTCGCGTGTTTTCAAAGAAAAGTACACAATACGTCAGACAAAAGTGAAATCTCAGAACAATTTATAGTGAAATAGACTTGCGGTGTCAGAAGTGGCACTGATTCGAGTAAAGATTAGCGCGGGAGACGTAAAAGCAGCTCAGATATTACCGAGCTTCGGTCTAAACGCGCGATCTTCTTAATTTGTGATTCGTGATTCTTCAGGAAAGTAATCAAACTTGAAGTTAGTTTCCTAGGAATACCTCAATTCAGAAAGTGACTGAAATTTTATTTATTTTATTTTATTTGCCACACTAATTACAAAAAATATAGGAAAAGAAGAAGAAAAAAAAAAAAGAAGTGGCGAGGAGACCTAACAGAAACTATAGGAGCTTATGAGAGGTTAGGCCTCCTCGAACTATGAGCTAGAGCTGTTTCACATCAATTGAAGAGAAGAAGGCGAAAAGTCGAAGATGGAAAGATTTATAAACTGTTTTCATACTTACTCAATAATTTAATCTTCAGTTTTTCTTAAAAGAGGAGAGGGATTGAGAGTTGATGATCTTGTTGTCAAGTGAATTAAAAACTTAGGCCCTTGAAAAAAAAAAGGGCGAGAATTTCTTCGTGTTTGTACGACAATACGGTAGACGGTAGGCCTGGGAATTTCTTGTATTGTAAGAGTGGAATTGATTGCTTTGAGAGAAATTGTTATTAAACTTTGGAGGTAAGAATGAATTTTTGCAAGAATACATAAATTGGCCCAGTTGAAGCAAATGGATATCATTAAATTTTAGTATACCGAGGTCCTTAAAGATGGGGTCAGTATGAGCATTAAAATGTGATTTATTAATAATTCTAATAATGCGCTTTTGCAGGATAACAAGGCGGCGGAGATTAGTTTTATAGGTCGAAGCCCAAACGATATTGCAGTAGTAAAAATAAGGATAAATTAAGGAATAGTAGAGCATACGTAAAGACGATTTAGGAAGAAAGAAGCTGCATCTAGATATTATACCGATTGACTTCGCAACTTTACTTGCAACGTGAGATATTTCCGACTTCCAATTTAGGTTTTCATCCAAAATTACGCCTAGAAAATTTGTCTCCTTTACTTTAACAATATTTTGATTATCTATACTTATTTGAATATTACAAATTGAACGCTTTTGTCTTGGTTTGAAGACCATAAATTTAGTCTTTTTAAGATTTAGAGAAAGCTTGTTTGCTTTAAACCAGATTGACAGTTTGTCCATCTCCAAGTTTAACATATCTGAGAGATAGTTCAGATCTTTATGTGACATGAATACATTGGTATCGTCAGCGAACAATATCAGATTTAATAGATTAGAAGCATTGTTGATGTCGTTAATGTACAGTAAGAAAAATAGAGGTCCGAGGATAGAACCCTGAGGGACCCCACAAGAGATTTCATTTCTTAACGAACGGTGGCCATTATATTCAACATATTGCTTTCTGTTTGAAAAGTAACTTCTTATCCAGTCCAGCGCTAAGCCACGAATACCGTAATGTTCGAGTTTATCAAAAAGGATGATATGATTTACAGTGTCAAAGGCTTTTGAGAGGTCAAGAAAAATACCTACGGAAAATTCACCTCGGTCAAAGGCAGTAGAGATCTTATCATGCAAGTCGATTAGCGCGAGTGCAGTGGAATGATTTTTCCTGAAGCCGTATTGGTTACTACAGAGGATGTTGAAGTTCATCAGATATTGCATTAAACGATTGTAGATAACTCTTTCAAAGAATTTTGAAAAACTGGGAAGCACCGAGATAGAAATAATAGTGAAATGCCAAAAAATGCATTCTATCTAGCTCGTTTCATGCGTTTTAAGATTAAGTCTCTACCTGCATTCTTAACTAGGCCAAGAAAAAACAATATATTGAAAGTGTTAGCCAATTTTAATCAAATAGAGCTCATTTTCTGTAACAATGGATGTTAGATACGTGATTCTTGCCTTGAAGGAAAATAGCGTCCTTATTCGACTGGAATCACTCTCCTCTTTAACACTGACTCGAACTTATGAATGGCTAATTGACGGATTAACTAGACTTATTTTGATACTTATTTAATGTATAAATTGATAAACTATGCGACACCTTTACTAGATAATTTTAAAAAATTCTCGCTAACTAGGTAGAGGGACGTGATTCTTAACCCTACCTAAATAGAAGCAGTGGTCTATAAAATATATATACTTAAGATGGTAAGAAAAATACGCTAGTAAATTACGTCTAATATAAAAATACTTACATTGTATAATAAGGAATTGGTTTTTCCCCGCGACGGGGCGGATGAGAGGCTGTTGTATTTACACAGACACATACCCTTAAGCATTCATTCCATTAACTAAAATCCCCAAAAAAAGAATTACCTTAACGGCTGAAAATATTCACAGATTGATAAAGAACACCTGAGACAGGATTCTTTCCAACAAATTCGATTGGAAATGTGTTTTGACTCATGATGCTCTGTGGTTAGGAACATCTTGAGGTACGAGTGATCTTTTAAGAAAAAATTTTACTCGTGAATAAAACTGACACTGAATTATTTCAGAGACTTCAGGCAAGTGATATCTGAAACAGAAGCTGTTCTTAACACCTAAATACTAATGAAAATGTCAGAAAAAAAAATCTGACTCGTCTACTTGCAGACGGTAAGACTAATGCCGTGTTTAGACTTGAGCGTGCTACCGAGGTATTGGAGTTAACTTACCTAGGTAAATATTTTGCGTGTGTAAACGCCAACTGATACCCTGGTAAACACCGCTCAAGACAATAGAAAGTTAACTAAGGTAAAAGTTCGGTTTGCCCTGCGAAAAGGCATGGTTAAGGTCGGTAACCAAGGTTTGGATGACAGATACATCCGCTTGCGGTCGCATAGAATTTCAAATCCTGTGGTGTCGGGATTGCGTCAGGCTCATTCGATCACGTTTTCGAGACCAGGTTTTCGAGACTAGGTTTTCGACCAGGTTTCCACGTTTGGTTTCGGTCTACGAAGAAGTTATGGCAAAAACCAAAGACACAAAAGACACACCATTCTTCAACAAAATTTCCGTTTAATAGAGTTTCGAACCAGAATTGGTTTCTCGGCCACGACCACGCACGTCTAACGCGCCTTGTCTTGCGAAGGGCAATTTGTAGCAGAATTAATCGCTTTCGCCTCCACCTCTTTAGGTGCTGCAAAAGTAAGAGCTGCTGCAAACTCGATTCCTGGGTTTGCTGATCAAGAACAAGAAAATAAAACGCGAGGACTACAAGAGCCACAGCTTCTCTTTTAAACGCGAGCATTTATGCGTGGATTTAGAATTTGCCGCCAATTCGATTAGATTGTGATTGATGACAGACTTACCTTAGTTATTTGAGCCCGTATAAACACTGTACAAATGTACCAGGGTTTAGTCAGTTAATGTTTACCTTGGTAAACGCTTGAGTGTAAACACAGCATAAGTGTTTAAACACGCCGCAAACGGAGTAACAATCATCAGCAACAGTTATTCACTCGAAGACACAGAAACAAGCTGATTACAAGTACACACATTTTGCTACGTCTTACACTACAACACGCTCTAATGGTGGAGTATTTACGGAGGACTGCTGGCAAGGTGGTGGCCCTAAAAACCAAGTTTTATTAAGAATGCTACAGTACTTTATCAAACTAATTGAAGGGGCTGTATTAATTTTTTGAAACCAAAAATGTTTTGTTATGAATACTTAGTCTATTTATATGGCTATTTGTACCGTAATAATAACATAGACGGATTATAAAACTGTACATATGAATAAAAGACATCTTGTTTCTTGCCAGCATCTTTGCAAATAACTTGCCACAATAAAGGTTCAGCCAGTTGTTCAACTCAAGTGTCTTCAATTTGCTATCGCGAGTTAGCAATTCTTGAATCGCAATATAATCAGACATCTTTACCCTCTTTCTGTGGAATAAGGCTAACATAGTGAAGCTCGTGCAGGTGACCCAGCACGAGCCGCTTGCTACCAGTAACATCAAACTCTGGGCAGATCATTACGTCATGGCGATGCGGAAGACTGCTAATCACGTGGATGCACGTTTGAAAACAGTTTGCCGCGCCGTGTAGAATCACGTGATCACCCCATGTACCATCTGCCAACATGCTTGTGAGGTACGCATCCCAAGATGGATATCCATCAACAAAATGAAATAGTTTTGTCCCATCCGGCTGTAAGAAAAAAAGAAAATACTGTAGTTAATAGAGAAATTGTAGAAGGTATATATTCAGGCAGCTGCGCTGTCAGCTCTCTCTAAGGCGGACCCCGCTGGTATCGGCACTAGAGCAGATATGTCTACCTTAGTAGTGAACCGGAACCAGGCCAAAAGGTTGTCTGCAATGGACAATAAAATAGACTATGATAGCATACTAACCGAATAAGAACATGATCCCTGCACACTACATCCCTCCCATAGCTCGTGACGTTATGTTGATGGGATTCTACCGCATTTTATTCAAGAGATAAAGATGCCATTGACATTTATTTGTTACCCTTTATACTAAAGAGATTTCACTTCAAAAACGAGGTCTAACGTTTGCATCCCATACTACTCTCCTTACTCTCTTTCTCTCCAAGAAAAACAATTAAGAACGGCAGCGACCAACACTTTCAGGAAAGTACTTTAGGAGGTTTTAGGGAGGTGTCCGTTACACGTGTAAGAGAGAGGGGAAGAGGTGTTTACTATGAAAAAATAAAAGTTTGGAAATTTCGACTTGTAAACCAGTATGTTGGGTCAGAAATGACCCTACAAATATAACAAGTATTGAGGATCTCAAGTTTATCCGTTCATACTATGCTTCTGTATCGGGGAAAGAAGCGGAATCATTTGAAGTTTGATATCCATGATTCGTGTCGTTTTTTGCCTCATTGATTCATGATTCCTACAAGGATTTTCCTCCAGATTCATGATTCATGAACTGACTTTTGATCACCTTGAGTTAATGATTTTCACAGTCACTGTATTAGTCTCGTCTTGTATAGTTTCTTTGGTGTTCCATCCATCCAGACTCGGTATAATCATTCGTTTTTTCTAGCCGTAAGTATGGAGTTGTTTTTGTAACTGACCATTAAGCACCAGGTTACTTGTCAAGTCTTCCCCTCTTTAAATAAAGTATTCACTTCATTTCACTAAGTAGACATATGCTGTTCGAACAAAGCGGCTTTTGGTGAACATTTCATTCTTACCAAAATACCATAGTACTTATAAAAAAATTAGGACATGAGTCAGACGATCGAGGCGACAGAAACAGATTTCCTAAAATCTGTTTTCATTTACGCCTCCGAGTCAAAAACGTGATTAAAGGAAATGAATTTGCTTTATTTTAAACCTTTATGGCGCTTATGTAACGTTTTCCAAATTAAAAAAAGTAGAAGAAATTTCCTGGATTTGAATTCTGAGGGCAGCATCCGGATCCAATAACAATATTTCGTCGCCATGCTTTCGAGGTCCTCCACAAAACGTCGCATTAGGAAGTTTCACGTCGTGCAGCAGAAGACGAAGCAAAATACAAATAAGCGTGATGCTCGTGCAGAGCTGATGTTTTGCTCATAAAGGGTGGATTCATTTGTATCATACCCGTAAAGCCGTAGCATTTGGCTGCAAGAATTTAAGGCCCCGTCCACACGTATCGGGGTATTTTTAGCCTTCCGTCCACACGAAAACGGCCTTTTGGGGCACCAAAAAAACAGGTCCCCAGAAAGCGGTCCCCAGAGTGGACTTTTGAAAACGCCGAATTCTCTTTTATGTGTGGACGGAAGAAACAGAGGTTTTCTAATACAATGATGTGATACATTATGTGTTAGTAGTACTGCCTTTGCTCTGTAAGGGATGTTATCGTAGCGCAAAAATTCAAATACGCTACGTGTGGACGCGTATTTCGGATTCGTCAGAGTAAGACCTCATTGCTTTTAACCTTAAAAAACAACAAAAAAAATTTCAGCGTGCCAATGCGACGGATTACGCATAGATTGCAAATAAATCCACCCAAGCAAAAATAATAAGGTACTTACCAGCCTAGGGTTTTCCCGAAGATGTTGAACAATAGTTCGGCGTAACTCATCATGGGACATTTGAATTCCTTTGATGAGGTCAAGCTGTTCTGAAAGTGCAAAAAACATGCAGTTCCCCTCCCCTTGATTGTCGGAAATCGCAAAACCTTTGTCCAACGCAGTCGTCTTTAAAGCATGCGACAGCTCAGTTTTGCTGGACTCTATGCGTGCTTCCAACAGGATTTGTTGAAGTGCAAGGAAAATGGGTTCACCTGTAAGCGGAAGATGAAAAACACAAAATAAGATACATGAAGAGGTTATTTCACGCCAGTTTAATAGGAGATATTGATAATGATGATGATAAAGAATTTGTATAGTGCTACAACTATAAAATATTCAAAAGCGCTTAACATTAAGTTACAATTAAAAAAATTCCTGAAAAGCTAATAATAACAATAACAATAATAAAAAAATTCCATGCTATGCAAAAATCTAAAAAATAAAAGTCTAAAATTCTATACAAAATTAAATGAAAATATTCAAGCATTAAACTTCAGAATCATTCTAGTAGATTATAAGCTTTCCTAAAAAGGAATGTTTTAAGATGCTTTTTAAAAATGGCGAGGCAGCTATATTTTGTTCTTATAGTCAATGGCAGCGAGTTCCATAAAACAGGTGCAGCACTGTGCGCTGGTCTGAAGCTTAAAACAGTCGACAATTTCAGAAAAATTACTGTGGTTTTATAAGAACAAAATAACTTCACTCTACTGCAAAAATATATTTTGGCTTTGGTTTAATTGGCAAAGCAAACAATGACATCACCTGTCATCGGTCCTGATGCAGAATCTTTCTCAAAGTCATTCTTTAGAACGTCATCTTCTCGGTTTTTTTCAACACCTGCAAAAAATTAAAATTGGCAGTAAATTTAAATGGTTTGGCCTGTAAGCGGGAGAGGGAAACATTATTTACGTCAGTTTACTTGGAGATGCCACACTAAGCATTGAAAAGCTAAAAGCACCCGAAAAATCGAAAGTACCCTGGTTTAACAGAAGAAAATAACCTCACTCTACCGCAAAAATTAATTGTCTTTGGTTTAATTGACAAAGCAAACAATGAAATTACCTGCTATCGGTCCTGTTGCAGCATCTTTTTCACAGTCGTTCTGTGGAACGTCATCTTCTTTGGTTTCTTCAAGACCTGTAAAGTTGAAAAAATTGATGATTTACAGAAAACTATGCCACTCTGTAAAACAAATGAACGATTCCAGCCTTCATTTTTTGTGACAACCCACCATTGCTGCTCGATATGAATAGAAATCAGATGACTTTGATGTATCGCAATCTTATAGAGTTAAAATTTTAATTTATCGTTAACTCTTTCAGTTGTAGCCAATATGTTATAAATTTATACGTGAAAGTTTTAAAAAATGGAATTGCTCAGCCGGTAAAAAGATATCTTGATTGTTAAACAAAATCTCCTCATCAGTAACCCAAGGAATGTATGAAGAACAGTGTGGAGAATGTGAATCCCAACATTAAGGATAAAAGTTAACCAAAAATATTTGTAAAACTGTGAAAGGTTTGAACCCAGGAGTCATTTCAAAAGTAGGTTGAGTTTGATCGTCCGGGTGAACGTAGAACTTAGAACAAACGCCACTGAATCGTAGCCAACAGTTACCAGCGCCGTACAAACGACTTATTGACGAGATCAAGCAAAACTAACTACGAGAGAATGACAATTTGACTAACAATAGACGACTGTTTAACTGTGACAATAGACGGACCGAAACGCACCAATTACTGATTACGAGTCTTCATAGCCAACAACATCACTGCTTAACTGACAGACGAACAATAACATCGCGACGTAATTGACCAATCAGATCAATAACCAGGGTATAATACCGTCAACTGACGTGATACAACTCACTTTGACTCTGAAGATGACTACCGCACAGGTTGTCGAAACGTCAGTCACTGTCACCAACAACAGTCCTATTCAGGACTACGTTCACCGCGGACGATCAAACTCAACCTACTTTTTAAAAATATTTGTGCTGGGATGCACATAGACCACGAAACATAACATAGTAAAAATGTATTCATGCAATCGCTATTGCAGAAGCAATGAACATACAGCGATAAATTATGAAGGTCAAATGGAGGATAATACTGAAAAGATACGCATTTGAAAATCATCAAGTACTAATTATTATTATTATCGTTACTTTTCTATCGGTAAATTTGATTTCTTACCATAGACCATCTTCCACATCCTGTCAACAAGGGCCTGGCACTGTTCCTCCCAACAAAAACTTTTATCATAACTTCTTCGCAGTCTTTGGATTTCCTCAAGCCGCTCTGTCCTTGATTTTTGACGGATGGCTGCAATTGCCTTGGACCATTCCTTGGGGTCATCAGAGTCGATCACAAATGACTCACCCATTGGAAGACCACGCAGTGCTTTTCCAAATCCGGAGTTTCCACTTACCAGAATGGGAAGACCGGCTGACATGGCTTCCAATGCTGTCAAACCAAACCCCTCAGTTCTTGATGGCATGATGGCCAGATCGACTTCACAAAACAACTCTCTCAATCTTTGTTTGTCTTTCACAAATGATCTCACAATCAGCTGGTTCTTTGAAATGCCAGTCTGGAGTAAGATTTCTGCGACGTCATCCTGCCTTCCATCGGATGCACCAACGAAAACAAGACTATAGGAGCTGTCCTTCAATTCAACTATGGATTGAGCGGCAATGTCGTATCCTTTAAGACTGAAGTCTTCGAAATCACAGCGACCGAAGGTTAACACTTTGAAATTTACATTCTCTTGTTCAGAATGCTCAACATCTGAAAACTCTGTAAAGGAACCTGGTACTAATTGAAAGATTTCTCGACGAGATGAACGCAACTGGGACGAGATCGCTTCTTTCAACTTGGGCCCAACGGCTACAACGAGATCTGCAATTTGACAAAGGTCAACTTCAGCTCTGTTCTTCCCTTCTCCCTTGGCAATGGCGCTTGGATAGTTCTTATGCATTGCCAGCTCTTCAGGCTCAGTGTGAACAACCTGCACCCAGTTGCATCGATGAGACTTTCTGATAATCTGTGCTTGTCTACCAAGCTTTGCTCCATGGCCGATCACAACCTGAATGTCAAGGTCTTCTGGTGGATAGCTCAACCAGTCAAGAGGATCACTAAAGCCAGGTAGATGCCCTGCTTCCCTGATGGAAATGTTGTGACTTTTGGCAACTCTCTTGTGTTTTTCTCCACACTCAAATTCAGGTACAAGAATGGTCACTTCTACGTTTTCGTCTTTTGCCAAATGTATGGCAAGAGTCCTGTTTATTGTTGACAAGCCACCCTTGGACGAGCCCCACTCATTCGCTAGAAGGGTAACTTTTAGTACCAGACGCTCTGGACGAACCTGTGCAGTATCAGGTGATGATGATGGAGAACACGCTTCCTGCATAGGAACCAAAATTGGATACTTTAAAATAGAAATTTAATATCTAGGGGCTTTTTGAATGAAAGTTTGCAAAACATGTTATCAACACGGTAGATGCTACAAACTTATTGCTCAACCGCAAAGCAAAACAGCACATTTACAAAGACCTTGAGAAAAAGTTATATACCAACTGCTATGCCTAGAAGCCAATAACAATTATTAATACATGGTAGCCAATTGACCTTATCAACTTACTTGATTTTAAGCACCAATGTTCGCTAAGTTGATAGCAACAAAGTCTTGTCTTACACTCCAGTGGAGCTCGTGGTAGGATAAATAAAGGCATACGTTAAACCTCATACTATAACCTTATAACAAAGCACATCCATGGACTTTGTAGAAGCCTCTTTAGTTTAAATACATGGCTACAGTCACTGTGGCTAGTCTTTATAAAGACACAATTTTAAGTAGTCTGTGTATTCGATTGATATGCACTATGCTAACAGCACTGCTAGAGATTGCATTTCACTGCTACCTACCTTACTTTCTATTTGTGAGAACCACTGTTCTTGTCCCGTAACTGTGAGTACCTCCTCTGCAGGTTTCTTCTTGCAAATCAGAGGATCGCCTTGTCGTAACTCAAGGAGGTGAAGACAATCTTCATGAGGACATGCAATCTGATTATGGCTTGAGCATTTTTCCTGCTGACAATACGGACAGGCGACCCGAATATGATACTGCAATCCACCTTTATAGAGATCACGTGACAAAACTTGCAAAGTTGCCTCCACAAACTCACGAACCTGCACTGCCACCTCACTTGTGTCATCTACTGAGATCTGCTGAGGTTGGTTTCTTTGCTTGATAAAAAACTTAATAAACTGCTTCTTACAAATAAGAACAAAATCATGGAAAGTTTGCTTCCCAATAACAAACCACGCTCCATTGTGGAACAGGGTAGGGGGCTGACTTGGACCAGCTTCAGAACACCAACGGACAGATCGAGAAACAAGACGTGTAAACAGACCATGAGGAACAGAACCGCTGACAAAGTAAACATACAGGGGACATGGGTCCAGCCTTGTAGGCGCCATGGAACAAAGGGAATCAGGCGAAGCTTTGAGTTGAGATGGAACAAAGTACTTTTCACCCGTCTTTGAAGATGAAAATTTTGCAATCAATCCAAATTGTTCCATCAAATCAAGAATGTCTCTCCTGGCAACACCCTTCAGGAGAAAGTTGGAAAACACAAGATCAACCAGTTCCATGGAGAGAACACCGCTTTCTTTAACTTCCTTCCAGTGCTTGGCAACCTTAGGAACCTAAGACGGAATAAGGTGAAGGACAATAACAAAGTTTTCTTAAAATGGTGATATTTTGGGAGAATTTTGAGCCAGTTAATTAATGCACTTGTAAATTATTGGTTATTTTATTTAACATTTTAACTAATAAACAAAGAAAAAGATCTAGAGTTTTCCGTTTTTGTGTGGGGACGAATATAAAGAAAAAGTTACGTAGTCTTCCTAGCAAGTACTACTGTGTGAATAAAAGTAAAGAGGATAGCCTTCTAAGCAGCCCTCCGTTTGGTTCGTCACACAATTCTTTCCAATAACGTTAGAAGATTTACGAAGTTAAGTTTTCTTTTCTTTACAACGTTCACCATAACCTCGCGCTGAGAGAAAACAATAGAAACGTGGTTGTCGTGGTAGAAGGAAACAATGTGAAACAATGGAATGTGGAAAAGGAA